GTGGCACACCTGTAGGATGTACTCTAGGGATGTACTCCCAGGTGACATAATTGACCACATGTGGTCATGATTTGGGATGAGCTCTAGGCTTATTCAGATCCTAGTCTGAATCCACCTGAGCAAGCCCACCTGGAAGCTGTCATGGTACTGGACCATAAGTGGTTGAGGCATTTCTGACCAGTTGCACGTATACAATGGCCCTGCCACAGATGACTGGTCCTGTACAGGTGATAGCTTCTTGAAAGGCCCTCTTAGAAGTTGGGTTTTCACTAGGATCCGAACATGCCTGAGCGGTCAGGTGGGTGAATTGGCCAGCTAACAACACACAGCCTAAGTTCAAGAAGAACTTATGGCCAACCCAAACCTACAGGCTGAAGCTTGTCCCTTCTACTAACTATACTCCCTGACCTGGATAAATGAGAAGCTTCAGACAGTATATATGACCTTTTTTCACATTCCTTCATTTAGTTTTTCACCACATTTACCTCCAGACCAAGCTGCCCAGCATAAATAACAGTAATATGAGTTGGACAGACTATAATGTTGCTTGTAAATGAGAGCTGATAAACACAGGACAGTCGGCCCTACAGGTGATTTGTATTCTTTTCATTAAATAGTCTGCGTGAGGCTGTCTTTGTGAGTAATTTGCCTGCAGATTGCTGCGTGCCTCCTGGGTGAAGAAGAGGCACAATAGACAGCGGGGAAATGTGTAAGCTAAAGTCTTACAAAACAACCAATAACTGGTTTGATCCAACAAATATTGATATTGCCGTTTTGAGCAGATTTGGAGACTCAAGCAGTGATATCACAGCATCTACTACTGCGACCACTGCATGCATTGAATTATTCAGTTACTGTCTTTGAAGAGAAGCTTTCAGATATTTTAGACTTTTAAAAGACCTATGTAAGGGCACATACCACACAATACAGTGCATAAAGTGGAGAAATTTTAGTGAAAAAAAAGTTGGTTGAATTATTCATGGCGAAGGTGTGTGCTCCTGATTTGTGCACAGATGTTTAGTGTTAGCAGCTTTAAATAATATGTTTCTGTTGTATCGCTATCCCAGACTGAGGTTGATGAATTGAACTGGTTCTCCCCCAAACAGCACAAGTGCCATCAGCCACCCAAGCAACAGTTCATCCACTCTGGCTCCAAATACTAGTCTAGGAGTTGTCTCTTTTTTCCTGTAGTTTATTGCTGGTAGAACTGGTAACAAGAGAGGGAGTCTTGGTATGGGACACTTCCAAAGATATGCTCAGCAATAGTTAGTGATCAGAAGACAATTTTTTTAGCAACAGTAGAAGTATTGGCTAAGAGTGAACAGTCCAAGGCCCCACAGCTGAAGACCATGGGGCATTTTTTTTTTTACTGGACATCTGGTTACCCTGTACCAAAGTCCAACATCGGTACCCAATGCAACACCCAGCACTCAGAGATCAAATTAAAGTCACTTCTCACAAGTCCCCAGGACAGCTGCCTCCTTTCAGCTTCCTTTGGACATAGCCCAGTGTCTGAGATGGCGTTTCTCAAGCCTGAATCCCTTGTGGTGCAGTCCTGCAGTCAGCTCTGAGAAAAGGTCCATTTGACCCTCTGATCCTAGCACATCTGAAACCTTCTTACGCAGTTGTCTAGTCCATGGATTGCCAGGCAGCAGCAGCCCCTGCAGCTCTAGCACCCTCCTGGGGAGTAGCCCTGCTCTCCAGTGTCTGATTATTTATCCCTATTCCAACCCCCTACTGGGCACTTCCTCTCCAAGATTGGGGCTGATATCCGATAAAAATTCAGGCTGGGTGAATTGAATCTCCTGCCCTATGCTATGAAAGCTTCTTCCAGAGGCAGGAGGAAGCAATCAAACTCCCAGCCTGTGAGACACTGAACAGGCCAAACTAAACAATCACTGCTCCTTTGATTACAAAGAACATAAAGGCTAAATTTACCTAGCCACCTGTGCTAGGAGGGTGATACAATCTTAACACATAATTAATCTTTTCTATGAATTTTTTGATACCAGAAGAAGTCTAGTACCTTTACAAGCCAGAACCATCATATAAACACCCCACTGAAACTAGTTTCACCTTCTTAGGGCTTGACTGCCTGGATTTCATTGGTTAGGCCCCACTCACTATCTTCCTTTTCAGTAAGAGCAACCCTATTGTCTCCTGATGCCCTCTGATTGGATGGGTAGTAGTAGGTGAGCCAAGATGGACCCACTCCAGGCTGTATCAGTGAACAGAGAAGCACTATAGTGATGATGTCATCTCTCTGTCACTCTGCTGTCTCCTGCTATCATGCTTATTGTCAGCACATGAACTGATTGCCTCTTTCTAGTGCTTCTTCCTATGCACTGCCTGTACCCTTCGCTCCTCACAGGACCTCCTTCTATCCTGCTCCCTGGTCTCCTCCTCCCATGCACGACTGCAAGACTTCTCCAGGTCCTCCCCCATCCTCTGGAACTCACTGCCCCAATCCATCAGACTGCCGCCTTCCCTCCTCACATTCAGGCGCTCCCTCAAAACCCATCTCTTCAGGGAAGCCTACCCCACCCTCACCTAACGGCCATTCTCCCTCATTCCTCCCACCACTTCATTCCCCTCAGCCACTTCCTACTGTACCACTACCCCCTCCCTCCTAGATTGTAAGCTCGAAAGCGTAGGGCCCTCTTACCCCTTGTACGTTGTTTGATATTGTTGTACTGTGCCATGTATTGTCCCCCCTATATTGTACAGCGCTCAGCAAACCCTTTGGTGCTATACAAACTCGATGTAGTAATAATAATAATAATAATAATAATAATAATAATAATAATGCAATAGACTGATACCAGGACAGTATTCATGGTTACCTCTAAACTGATTACCTTTAGAGGCTTTTAAAAAGTCACCTATGAAAAATATAGGGTAACGAAATTTGTTGTCAATTTTGCACGTGTGCACAAGTTTAAAGCTTGACATGTTGGGTATCTATTTACTTGGAGCAACTTCTTCTTTTACATTTTACCAAAAACTGGGTAGTTTATTGTGACCTAAAATTAATTTGTATAGTTCAGATATTTATATAGGTGTAGTGCCCCTACACCGCATTTGTAAACAAGTCCTTACTGAGATGAAATGTATTCTCCGGAATTCTGCAGGTTCTCCCTATGGGTTGGTTCATGCTGACAGCTGTCGTCCCCTTTTTTCAGTGGATTGTTTTTCAAAGGTGTTTGACAGGCAGTGATGACGGGATATGTCACCTACTGTAAGGGACCGCCCGGCGGTACCACTAGCACTCCACTGGTCGGATGTTCCCAGCGCACGGAATCTAAGCCCCAGGGCACTTGTTCACCAGGGCCCCTGATGGTGGGGATGGACTTGGAGTACCCCAGGACCAGGTCGTGACTACTGAGGACACCCGTCAGTGGTAGGGGTATTCGCCAGGGGCTCCCACGGGAGAGAGCCAGGTATGAGGAGGTCTGGAGACCCCGTAGAGAGGGACGGATGGATGGATGGATGGATGGATGGATGGCTGAGCAGGAGCAGGGTCATACAAGCCGGGTCGGTAACTATGGGGACGGTGCGGTACAGAGCAGCGGGCAGAGAATAGTCGGGTCACACGCCAGGTCAGCAACAGCAGGTCAGATCCAATAGGGGGCATACAGGAGAGAGGTCAGGCAAGCAAGGGTCAAAACAGGAGAAAACAGCAAGGTCAGGGCACAATCCGGGTCAGCAACTTACTTCAGACAGGTTCACAGGTTCACAGGATACAAAAGACCAAAAGGCACTGAATGACAGCTCAGGGCCGTTTAAATATCCCGCCCTGCGCTGTCATTGGTGCCAGGCGCGCGCCCGCGGTCACCACTGCGCATGCGCGAACCTGATTGCCGCGGTCGGCCAAGTCCCGGCGCTCGCGTACAGGGAGGTGTACTGCGCCTGCGCCGGGACCAGCGGCGCGACGATCCCCGACACCTCCTCCCCCACTCATTTTAACCCTAAAAATCCTGACCCACCTCACCGCATTACAGGACAGTTGCAGCGCAGCCCTGTTTACTTGCATGGGTCATGTTTGGCAGTGGTACTACCCACAGAATGCGACATGTAATTTCATTTTTTGCCATGGCATGTGTACAGCCCTAAGTGACTGCATACCCTTGTTTAGGTGGACAGTCAGGGGATGGTAAGACAGCAGGTTCAAGTGCCTGCTTTTATTGCCCCCTGACCCCCTCTCTGAACAAGCCTAAAACCTGGTAGGTTAATTGATCCTGCCTGTTGGTGGAAGAATGTTCCAGTAAACAGGGTGGGAGGGTTCAACGAGGAGGATTCTGGGGGAGCGCGGTGACGTCATTTTCGGCATGGCGGTCATATCTGAAACCCCTATATTAAATACCCATGCAAGGCATTCATAGCATGTGGTATAGGAGCCTGATATTGAAGAAATGTGAGTGGGCATTCTTATTGTATATACAATGAATAAATACAGTTTTACACTATGTAAGTTTTCTGTCTACATATGAACCGAGGAGGAAGCTGCTGAGAGAGTATATGATTCTGGGGAGGATCCGGTGATTCATCAGAGTGGTGTTTTATCTTAAGACGAGCTGACCCTGTGGGGTCTATGTGAGGAGCCACTGTAGCCATTGTTTGGATTCACACAGTGTGGACACTTGTCATCACATGCATGAAGATTGAGAGTTTTTTTTTTTTGGACACTATTTTTCATATGGACTTATTTTGAGTGATTTATATTTGGAGTGATTTTGAATTATTGGTTGTGATCACTTTGAACACTTTTAATATTCCCGGTGGGAATACACGTGTTTCACTTTATTTGCACATTTGCACAGATTTTTAGCACGTATTTATATATTTTTTATTATTATATATAGTATTTAAGATTTAGCGCTGCACTTTGTATTATTTATAACCCACCCAAATATACACTATATTGCCAATAGTATTGGGCCAGCCCTCCAAATCATCGGATTCAAGTGTTCCAATCACCTCTATTGCCATAGGTCTATAAAATCAAGTACCTAGGCATGCAGACTGCTTCTACAAACATTTGTGAAAGAATGGGTCACTCTCAGGAGCTCAGTGACTCCAAGCGTGGTCCCGTGATAGGTTGTCACCTGTGCAATAAGTCCATCCGTGACATTTCCTGGCTACTAAATATTCCACATCAACTGTTAGTGGTATTATCACAAAGTGGAAGCAACTGGGAACAACAGCAACTCAGCCACCAAGTGGTAGGCCATGTAAAATGACAGAGCGGGGTCAGCGGATGCTGAAGCGCACAGTGCACAGAAGTCACCAACTGTCTGCAGAGTCAATAGCTAAAGACCTCCAAACTAATTGTGGCCTTCAGCTTAGCACAACAACAGTGCATAGAGAGCTTTATGGAATGGGTTTCCATGGCCAAGCAGCTGCATCCAAGCCTTACATCACCAAGTGCAATCCAAAGCGGCAGATTCAGTGGTGTAAAGCAAGCCGCCACAGTACTCTAGAGCAGTGAAGATGTGTTCTCTGGAGTGACAAATTACATTTCTCTGCCTGGCAATCTGATGGACATGTCTGGGTTTGGCTGCTGCAAGGAAAAAGTTACTTGCCTGCCTGCATTGTGCCCAGTGTAAAGTTTGGTGGAGGGGCGATTATGGTTGGGGGTTGTTTTTCAGGGGTTGGGTATGGCCACTTAGTTTCAGTGAAGGGAACTCTTAAGGGATCAGCATATCAAGACATTTTGGACAATTTCATGTTCCCAACTTTGTGGGAACAGTTTGGGGATGGCCCTTTCCTGTTCCAACATGACTGCGCACCAGTGCAAGGTCCATAAAGACATGGATGAGCGAGTTTGAGGTGAAGGAATTTGACTGGCCTGCACCTCAACCCGATAGAACACCTTTGGGATGAATTATAGTGGAGACTGCGAGCCAGGCCTTCTCCTCCGACATCAATGCCTGATTTCACAAATACGCTTCTGTAAGAATGGTCAAACATTCCCATAAACACAATCCTAAACCTTGTGGACGGCCTTCCTGGAAGAGTTGAAGCTATTACAGCTGCAAAGGGTGGGCCAACTCAATATTGAACCTTATGGACTAAGACTGGAAAGCCATTAAAATGCATGTGCGTGTAAAGACAGGTGTCCCAATACTTTTGGCAATATAATATATACATATTAAAAAACATTTATTCCCTGGGGCGTTCCCAAGGCGTGTGGGAAGCTGTTCGTTGCACCAGACCTCAGCATGTGGAGGCCTAAAACTGAACATACATGAGTAGTATTTTTTTAGCAATCTTACAGGTAAGTGGTTTTTGGTCATATAAGTCCATTCATTTCAAAATTGAAAGCACTTTTGAATGACATTCATCAAGTCATCGTATGTACTGAGAATTTACAGTTGCAAGAAAAAGTATGTGAACCCCTTGGGATTACGTGGAGTTTTGCATGAATTGGGCATAAAAATGTGCTCTGAACGTCATCTAAGTCACAACAATAGAAGAACACAGTCTGCTGAACATAATACTACACAAACATTAGATTTTGCCATGGTTTAATTGCACATAACATGTAAACATTCACAGTGGAGGGAGGAAAAAGTATGTGAACCTTTGGACTTAATAACTGGTTGACCCTCCTTTGGCAGCAATAACCTCAACCAATCGTTTCCTGTAGTTGCAGATTAGACCTGCACAATGATCTGGAGTCATTTTGGACCACTCCTCTTCACAAAACTGTTTCAGTGTAGCAATATTCTTGGGATGTCTGGTGTGAATCGCTCTCTTAAGGTCATGCCACAGCATTTCAATCGGGTTGAGGTCAGGACTCTGACTGGGCCACTCCAGAAGGCGTATTCTGTGCTGTTGCAGCCATTGTTTTGTTGAATTACTTGTATGCTTTGGGTCCTTATCCTGTTGCATCACCCATCCTCTGTGGAGCTTCAGTTGGCGGACAGATGGTCGTACGTTTTCCTGCAAAATGTCTTGATAAACTCTGGAATTCATTTTCCCATCAATGACAACAATCCGCCCAGGCCCTGAGGCAGCAAAGCAGCCCCAAACCATGATGCTCCCTCGGCCATGTTTTACAGTGGGGATGAGGTTTTGATGTTGGTGTGCTGTGCCTTTTTTTCTCCACACATAGTGTTGTGTGTTCTTCCCAAACAACTCAATCTTGGTTTCATCTGTCCACAGTATATTTTGCCAGTAGTGCTGTGGAACATCCAGGTGCTCTTTTGCAATCTTCAAATGTGCTGCAATATTCTTTTTGGACAGCAATGGCTTCCTCCGTGGTGTCCTCCCATGTACTCCATTCTTGTTTAATGTTTTCCTTATTGTAGATGTGTCAACAAAAATGTTAGCATGTGCCAGAGATTTCTGTAGGTCTTTAGCTGACACTCTGGGATTCTTCTTTACCTCATGCAGCATTCTGCGCTGTGCTCTTGCAGTCATTTTTACAGGATGACCACGCCTAGGGAGAGTAGCAACAGTGCTAAACTTTCTCCATTTGTAGACAGTCTGTCTTACCGTGGACACATGAACATCATGGCTATTGGAGATACTTTTGTAACCCTTTCCAGCTTCATGCAAGCCAACAATTCTCGATCGTAGGTCTTCTGAGAGCTCTTTTCTGCGAGGCATGGTTCACATCAGACAGTGCTTCTTGAAACCAGTAAACCCAAAACAGGTGTGTGTGTTTTTTAAGGGCAGGACAGCTGTCAGCAACACATCCAATATCATCACACTGATTGGAGTCAAGGTTGGCTCACTCCTGGCTCCAATTAGCTCTGGGAGAAGTCATTAAGCTAGGGCCTCACATACTTTTTCCTCCCTGCACTGTGAATGTTTACATGTTATATGCAATTAAACCATGGCAACATCTAATGTTTGTGTAGTATTATGTTCAGCAGACTGTGTTCTTCTATAGTTGTGACTTAGATGATGTTCAGAGCACATTTTATGCCCAATTCATGCAAAACTCCACGTAATCCCAAGGGGTTCACATACTTTTTCTTGCAACTGTATATCCAAATTTTCAGACAAATGTTCATTTGTATGTCCATTTGAAAATCTACTAGTGTATGGCAAGCTTAGAAAGAGAATCCTTTTTAATCTGGGCTGGAGAAGGGATTTGCACTGGAAAGTGCTGAAGGAGTGCTGGGCAGAAGCTTGTACGTAGGTGAAGATCAGCCTCCCTGCACAGGTGGCACTGTTAAGGCAGCTGTTATGCAGAGAGGATAGAGATGGAGAGGAACTCTTGGTCCTCCAAAGCCTCCATAGGCGTCATCAGGGGAGCAGCCACAGCAGCTTGGAATCTGCTGCCTCAGAGGTCACCTTTAGAGAGGGCAGTGCTAATAAGTAGCACTGTCCCACTGCAGTTGGAGCGCATTTGTGAAGTGGCTAGGTCAGACACAGGAACCCGCTGATGAAGGACAGTGTGTCTAGCATAGGAAAAGGTTCTGATGGACGAGGGACAGTATAGGGACCTTTCACTTAAGCTGCTACCTGGGACCTCCTTTCTTCTGCTACTCGGGTGCCTATGTCATCACGAGGCCTACCAGCCACCCCCTTGATGAGATGCTGCTGTTAAGTATTGCAAACCTGCTAACATATCTTCTACAGTATTTAGACTGTGTACTATTAGTCCTTCTGTGAGGTACTGCCATACTGGGTTTGGCCACCTTGCTGGAACTTTGAGTTAATACATTGTGCATTTGCTCCATTTTGGGTACCAAACATCTGGCCTCTCTTATAAGCTACAGTCTGGATATTGTGAGAAGGGTCCATAGCCTGCAGCTCCATGTATCATGGTACATTTTAATTTAGGGAAAGGCCACATAGTGCTATATTTTCACTGTGACTGCTCTTGCAGAGTTAAAAGATTCTTGGCCATCCCTAATTACCACTGCTAGAGCAAGACTGCTGCTAAATGGCCCATCATTGATGGGATTCTTAGGAGACAGTCCTTTATGTTTTTGTGCCTTGTGTATCCTACTCCCCAAACCCTCCTCCCCTGCATTTTGTCTGTGCATTAAACAGTAAAAAGACCTATGGACTGGAGCCTGTGTTTGATGGTGAGCTACATGTGCTAGGACTGGTAGCAGGCTGGTAGCCTCTGGCCAGATATTGAGAACCAGTTGTTTTCCAGCAGCTTTTTCGGGAGTGGTTGGAGGCCAAAGCTTCCCTTGAAGCTATGGTCCAAGAACCCCTGGAGGTGACGGCAGGAAGTGCAAGAATCATGAGTGTTGATAGACCAGTTTCCTGTTGGCTGCTCCAGAAAGTGTCTAGCTAAGTAGTACTCAGGCAGGTGGGAGAGTATGTCAGCAGGAATACAGGGTACACTTCTGGTGGAGCAGGTCAGGTTCAGCAGTAGGTGGTGTGCATTCACCACCCATAGTGAATGAAGGTGGTACAGGATCAAATGATAGGGAGAAAAAAGAGTGGAAGGGCTGAGGACAAGATCTGTGCTGAGGTCATACAAGGTGGATTGGTAAGAGAAGAGATAAAAACATGGTCAGGAGCCAGAGCTAAAGTCATACACAGTGATCAGGAGGAGGGAGACAGCTGTAAAGTCAGGAACAAAGCCTGGCTCATACGTGGTTGTTCATTAGAAGCAAAGTACACTTAATGCCCCTTTCAAATAGGGTAGACTCTGTTTTGCTGAGAAGAGAATCTGTCTGTTGATCCCCTGCTAAGCAAAGCAGAGCAGGCAGATGACAGGTCTGTATCCACTCAGATTCTGCAGAGCAGACACGAACACAACCCACTCTGCTCTATGGGTGGTTGGGTGTAAAAAGACTCTTCTGTCCATTTACACCTGACTGTCCTCTGGTATAATTTGCCTAGACGGATGGGGACAGATCCCCTTCCATTTTTTTATTGCATTGCACTGTTTCATTATAGTATACTGTATTATACTAACTAACTAATCATTCCGTTCTTGCAATAATGTACATCTGTGGGCCTCTAGGCTCCACCCCAAACAGCATTTGATATATCTGCCATCCCCACCCACTGGTGGGACAACTCAGTATCCACCCTGTAGAAATCAGCTCATTAAAGAGAGGACACAGGTTGCGTAGGTATCGGCTCTGAGGAAGGGGCTTAGCCTCGAAACACGTCAGCCATTTGGAGGTCTATAGTCCCCTACAAGACACCTTCCAGGGAGATAGGACCATGTTGTATTTCATATGATGTGGGTTTGATTTTTACCTTTTGTGAGTATATCACTTTTTATACAATAAACCAATTTTTTAAGGTAATGCACTAGGCCCGTGCACCCTCTGTTTGTTTCTTTGCATGCAGTTCATTTGGATTCCCCTGGTCCGTTGATGGCAGCAAGGCATGCATCCCATAGGCTACCTATGTGTGTTTACAATTATTGTGGAGTTCATCTTCCAGCATAGGAGTCAAAGCATCTGCTCATTTTTCTTTTCCTAGAAGAGAGAGGTCTGCTGAATGCAAGTTCTGGCAAGTTTTTAGGGGACAGTTCATAGCTTACCCAATCTCTTGTCTTGGGATCAGATACCATAGCCAGGTGGGCTGGTATTCTGTGCACCAAGGGGATCAAGAGCACCTACACATTGTCTTGTTACTAGAAATCCACTCAGGGGACACCAGGCTCCTAGAAGGGGATTA